CCCTTGTACTCCACCACGGCGGCAGGCATGGCGCCCGGCCGCCCCGCTCGCTGCAGCATCCCCGCCCGCAGCGCCCCGCCCGGACGAAGCGGGGTGGAGGCTGCCGCCTCCGGAGGGGCAGTGCTGGGCCCCGGCCCGGCCGGGCCTCTCCGCCCGCAGTGGCGGGGTAATGACCAAAGATGATCAAACGATGTTTTCGCATACCCTCAGCGCCGGATCACACTTCATCAACCCCCCCAAGAAACATGCTGGCCTGGGAGCTACTCGGGTGCTGGATCAGAAACCCTGCCTCACGATAAAAGGAAGGGAGAAACCCTAAAAAGCCAATGGTCCTCCAAAGAGCATCTTCTGGAAATACAGCTAGACTTTAATTATTCTGAAGAAAATAACACCATGGCCTAAAATAGCAGTCCCACTCAACTTACAACACCAAATACACATGAGGGACTTTGGGGTGTGGGGGAAAAAGACAGAAAGGGTAAGTTTTTATCTGTAATTGAGACCAAATTTCTGAATTCAGACCTTGATTTCCAGAAGAGTAAAAATTGAAAGACTATCAATTTCTTCTCCAGCAGCCAAGATCATCTAGATAACAAGATTATCACAGCAGAGATGGTTAACCATGCCACTTGCAGGTTGCTATTGAGGAGAGGCAAGGGATAAAAGAAGGGGGATAGCATTTCCTTTTTGTGAAAGCTTTTAAGTGGCAGTAAACCTTACATAAAGTAGTAAACTAAGCCACAATAAATAACAAGTATATGGTAATAACCCTGTGACAAGTATAAACAAGACAGCTTTTATGAAGTGTCATGATGTTCCGATAAAAATAAATTTAATTTTACAATATATACATATAAAATATTATCTGAAGGAAACATTTAAAAATATTTTCTTTAAGGCACCTAGGAGGAAAGAAAAAAAAAAAAAAGACAATTACAATATTCATTAAGATTTGCAACTTACCAAACAACTGTGACAATTAGAGTTCAATCCTATTGTTTAATAGATTTTAGAGGGAATAAGGCTGTCTTCCCTTCCTGCTTCCCTAAGTTTTTCTTCAGACTACTCTATTAACAACATAAGCTGTCAGTAAGTTAAAATAGTAGAAAAACTAAACTATGATTCTTCATAGCATTGCATTCCAAGTACAAGCATAAAGTTCCAAAAATTAACTCAAGTATAGCACTTAACTGACCCATCAAATGTAAAAGGGTTTTTTTTTCAGTTAATTACCATGTAGAAGACTAGATTACATTTTTTTTCCACAAAGAGACCAAGAATATAGAAGTGTTCCAGGTGTTATACAGTTACACATGTAGAAGAACTATAAGCAGGCTAAATCAGAAGTAGTTTTCCTGCAGTTCTTCCACATGCATGAGGAACTCATGCACTGTATCCTTATTTAGTTGTGATTTATTAAAAGAACTTACGTGAAGAATTAAGCTATGTCCATTTGATCTTCATTTCTGTGAGAAGGATGGCTAATCATGGGTTCTGTTATTTCATATGTTTCTACAATCTCCTGGTTAGAGATGACAAGAGCATGCAAGTTACAAGAACTGAACCATTTCAAGTTAATTGCAGTTATCCCAGGTAAGTAATAAAATTTCTCACACTAAAGCACTATTTCAAATTACTAAGTTTCTTCTGCACATTCGGACAAGAGTTGTATGTGCTAAAAACTACTTTCTGAATAAGATTTATTACAAACAGTGAGGAAATTGTACAGAAAGCTTCCCCTCTAGAAGCAACTATCATTTATAAGGGAAGAAACAAATTGCATACTTATGCAGCCCTCTTATAAAACAGTAAAGACAAGTCACTGCACAACTTAAAAGTACTTAAACTGACCAGGCTTCAAGAATCAAAGATGAAATTGCTATCCCAATTCTCAGTTTTCTTGCATTTAAAAAGCATTTGTTAGATTTCTGATTGTTCTGGAATCCATAAAATTAAATGTACTGATAATATAATACAGTAATACCCATGCTCAGCAGAGTACACAACAGCACAGCTCTCAGATGCATTTTTACATTTAAGAGAAAAAAAAAAAAATCAAAAGTATCAAGTGCTATATATTATACCTTCCATTCTTGATGGGACAGAGAAATGACAGCTTGGTTCCGTATTCCAGCACCATGGTCATCCTCCCTGCTTTCGTCTTTTGAAGGCTCTGTTCAAAACATGGTATTTTCATAGACTTCACAAGTGTAAAGTCAGTTTCCTCCAGGAACACAAAATCTTCACAAAAAGCAAATCATTACACATGCTCCACTAAGCTCACCTCTATCAATAGACTGTACCATATACTTCTCAACAGATTTCTATAGTCTTACCTCCTAAAAATTTAGGAGCTAGTATTTCTCAGGGTCCCAGAGGGACCTAAGTATTTAATCCTCTATGAAATCCCACCAAAGTCTTAATCCTGTTGATACCCAGTGGGGAAGAAAGCCAAAGACTTCATACACAGGGTGGCATTTCCTTTCCAACTGTTTTGAAGTTACATCACTTCCCAAGTCAGACAGACAAAGGAGACTTCTTGCACACAAAAATATATTTTCTCAGTAAAACGTAACAACGTTCATATACTTACTAGCAAAGATACCACTTAAAAGGTAATAACTTTTTATTTCTATTAAAAGAATTAAATTTTTATAGATTAGCATAATGTCCTTTTTCCATATTTTGATATTTGAAGAGACTCCTTTCAGTTCCTCTCAAAATCTCTTTATTCCTTCAATTCACTGCATTTCCCCAGACCTCTACTCCTGCAACTAAACACACACCTAAAACTTTGTGAAGACATAAGATGTAGCTACTTTTCAATGCTGTACAAAAACAAATTATAGTCTTTTAAAGCTAGATTTTACCTATTATTGGCAATTTATCGTCATCCAGCTTTAATCTTGCAAGACCATCCTAAAAGACAGTAGGATTTAAAGTTTCAGAAATTAGAGCTAATTAGGATAATGCACTAAGATTTCATTTTTAATTAATGTATTACATGAACAGGTACATGTACTGATAAAGAATCTTAACTGGCATACCAAAGAAGAAAAAAATATTTAAATATAGCACTTATTCATAAAGAATGTGGCTGATATAGGGCAGTTGGTAACTGTTGGATTATTAAAAAATCTGGTTTATTAAAAAATTCTTATTAATTCAATATACTTGTTTTAACCCTTCATAATCACATCACTATTCACTATAAATCTAGTAAAATATATAAGTTTCTCTCTTTTCCCAAATTCATTTTATTTATTAAACAAACTAAATAGTTTGAATTGTAAATCTACAGATTTGAAAAGAACGTGAAACACTGCACTGACATACTTTCCTACAACCTCAATAACTCCTCTATACTCTACAGCTACTGTTCTAAATCTAAAATGATGTGAGCTAGAATCCCTTTTTGAAAAGTGTACTGACAGCAAAAAATTTCACTGTTGTTTTGTTGGTAAATTGACTGTAGAAGAAAAATCTAATTAACAAAAAAAAAAGTCTATCTACTGTTTTCTTTTTTATTCAGTTACCAAAACATCACAGACTGTAGAAAACAAATTAGGATTCCTAACATTTAAATCCTGATCTGTCAATATTGAAGCCATAAAAACAAAAAAAAAAATCATTATTTCCAGATAATTCCAATATTTAAGATTTCAAGAACATGCCATGCCTTACCTTTATAATGAAGGAGACATGAAAGATGTTTTCCACAGTGCGTGCAAAAGAGTTTGGATCAATCACGAGATCAAAAAAGGAAATAGGTGTTTCAGCTAGAGATGAAAAAATGAGTTTGTTAAAAAAAAAAAAACAAAACACGTCGTATACACAGAGCAAATATATGTAAACACAAACTTCAGAACGTCAGTACTCCTTTTAAAAGCTAATGAATGTTTATGTCATTTAGTTACAATGCTGATTTCTCAGTCCACTGCAAAAAGTAACAAGTTTTCTAAAGAATATTATTTTCTTCCATC